AGAGAGAGAGAGAGAGAGAGAGAGAGAGAGAGAGAGAGAGAGAGGTGGTTGTTTGAATCAATTAACTTAGATTCATTGACTTCAGTCAATGAATAACTGTCTTGACGCCAGCTTTGGCTGGATCTAGGCTTGCCAGAGTTCAGATGCAGGAGGCGAATAACGGGAGTTGAACCCGTGTTTTCAAATTCACAATCTGACACTTTGACCCATTAAGTTATATTCACCGTGGTCCCGACTCGCTCGAACAGACGAAGTGTTAGACACGTTCTCTCTCTCTCTCTCTCTCTCTCTCTCTCTCTCTCTCTCTCTCCCCCCAAAGAAAAACCATCACCTCTTAGGGCTGCGTTCCCCCCGCCCCCGAGCCATGGTCCCCGGCGATAGACAATTTTTTCCTTTTTTGCTTTGAGTAGTTTTTACCGCCCGACCCACATAGCATCACCCAGCTGCACCACATTGCACTGGTCGTCTGCTCCGCGTGGCGAGTACTATGACCTGCCCTACACTGTGTACCCACCAACCGGCAGTACAGTCCACATATGATGACCTGTCGCATGTGGTTCACCCCGACCTACATAGCCCCACCCACCACATAGTACGACCCGCTCTCCGAGGTGTGACCTGCCCCGCATACCCGGCCGGCTTGGTATGACCCGTGCCACATACCACCATTCAACTGTCCGCATTGTGTGACTGCTCCCGCTTGGGCCCGATGATGGCTGGTTTTTTTCTTTTGCGGGTTGGACCAGCCACAACAGTTTGGTGGCCAGCTCTCATGCTAGGACATTTAGAGGGCTTTTGTACCACACCCATTGGGGCCTCGTTCTACACCACTTGAAACTGAAGTATTTCTTCTCGAACACGGTTCCACAGTGCACTTGAGTTTCCCTAATCATGTTCCCGGCGTGATTAAGGTTCTGGGATTAACGAACGGGCGGGATGAATCTCAAGCGTGGGTGATAAGCAGCCCAGGCAAATAGGGAAAATTTTCAAATCACCTCCCCGACCAAACTTGATAATACTAGTGAACAGCGCGAGCGTTGTGAGGCGATTGCAGGTATGGTATGGTTCCCCGCCCTCATTTTGTTTTTCTTTCCTTTTCTCTTATTTTTCCTGTTCTCGCCTGCTGTTGTGACGGGCGGTCCGTCAGGATGAGGACGACGGGGTGACAGAGAAAGATATGGAGATGGAGCTGGAAGGGACAGCGCAGCTCCGACGCGGACTCAACACGCACGTACTCCAAAATGTGCAGAATGAAGAATGACTGAAAACAGACAACAACTGGGGTATACCCCCAGCGGACTGACTAGACTGGACTGGATTGGCCTGGTACTGACAGTGGTACTGGGCAGGATTGGACTGGACTGGAACAACATACGGCCTGTGGGGTCGGGCCACGGCCTGGTCCCACAGGCCGAACAGGCAAATAGCCCAATAGGCCTTGGCTGTAGGCCAGGGCAGATAGAGGCCCTCTGCACGATCCTCAAACCTGTAGTGGATCGCAAAAACCATAAACACGCTATCCGCAAAAGCAGCGAAACTCTGCAATAAAGAAAGTTGAGAAATCTAGGATGCCGAGCAAGCTCCATGCAGAGTCCATGCGATGCAGCCTAAGCTACATAATGTCAAATGAAAAGCAAATGTCTGGTATACACATCCTAACTAACAGCTGAAAGTGAAATGTGGCATGATACAATCCTAAAGTCCTGGAGGCAATTGCCTCAATGCTGAAAGGACAAGACAACAATATGTTACAAGTAATGTCATGTCGTTGGACCACTAAGAGTGGGATGATCTCAGAGGAGGTGAATGCAGCTTAAGAATCGAAACTCCTAAGGGAAGTCGCACACGAAGGTGGGATAGGTCATCAGGCTCAGGGTGAGGGAGTGGTAGCGAAGCAAAACCAATGACCCTAACAGATAGACCATCAAGGCGGGTAATGCTCGACGAAAGGGTGACACCATGTAGGGTCGACCATGAAAGGGGAGTCTGGAATAGGGTGGATATATGCCTAACTGAACGCATGCAATGGCCGACACTAGGGTGATGAGGGATGCAATGGGTGAGGGAAATATGCACACAACTTACCGACTGGGGAGAGAGCTAGATCTGGGAGCAGGGAAGCCAAGATAACGTTACAGTCCAATTGCCTATGCGATACCAAGGGAGAGCCCAACTCAAAGAGACCCATCTAAGTGAGAACCATCATGCGACACATGCAAGGGAATGTACAGGGTAGGGTGGTGGTGTGAAATAGTCACGTCCAAGTAGCTAAAGCCCATAAGGTACCTAAAGTCGTCAAAGTGGTCGATGACATCGATGAAGTAGGAGTCGAGTAGATGTTGAAGCAGAACCGCAAAACGCTGACATTCTGAAGAAGCTGATGATGGAGTACCTGAAGGTGTGAGTCAGTAGGAAGATAGTAGGTGATCAAAGTGTCAGTCGTCGAGACGCCGAGGGCGTCGACGAGTTTGTTGTGGACGGGCAGAGGTGTCCGTCTGCTGCTGAAGGATGACCTCAGAGGGAGCAGGCTCGTGCTCAACAATCTCCTCAGCCGAAGGAGGAGGAAAAGGGTCGGTCGGCTGAGTAGGAGCACATGTATCAACACGACGAGCACAATTATATGCACGCACCAACATCCGGGCGTGCTCCAAGTGCTTGAGGGACTCAAGAGACCAGGCTCGTCCTCAACAATCTCCTTAGTCGAAGGAGGAGGAAAAGGGTCAGTCGGCTGAGTAGGAGCAGATGTCTCATCACGACAAGCACGATCATATGCATGCACCAACATTCAGGCGTGCTCCAAGTGCTCGAGGGGCTCCTAAGTGGCCTCCTCATCAGGATAGCCCTTCCAACCCACAAGATACTCAATGTGTGGAGGGGGAACGTCGGTAACTCGGGGAGATACGATGTCGGAAACGACGAACTCCTCGTGCCCGTCCACCATGATAGGTGGAGGGCGCTCATAACGATGTCCTGCAAAGCGCTCGGACGATCTGCGATAAGGACCCGGCAAGGAGATGTGGTAAACATCGTGTACACGAGCCTGTCAAAGGTAATCGGGTAACTTCACACGAAAGTTGACCGGACTAGAGGCAATATCAGAACCGACGGCCTGAAGGATGCGGCATGGACCGAAAAAGCGACGCCTGAACTTGCGAAGTGTATCCGCTTCAAGTTGCAATTGGCGTGCATCGACGAGCACATCGTCACCAACTTTGAATGGATGATTCATTCGTGATCGGTTCGCTCGTGTGGCCATGCGAGTCTAGGAGTCGGCTAGGCTCACGTGTGCGCGCTTCATAATCGTCGCCATGTAGGCGATTCAGTTGTCAAGCGCAAGACAACGAGTGTCTGAGCGCAACCACGACGGTCGTAGAAAATTTGCGGGTAGGCGAGAGTGATTGTCGAGGTCGCAATAGAATGACGACATCCCCATGGCTGGCAAAACGACATAGTTGTACACAATCTCCGCGTGGGCTAAATGTAAGTCTCATCCCTAATAAACTTTTGGAGGATATTACCGAGAGTTTTATTGGTGACCTTCGTCTGACCATCGGTCTGGGAATGGTAAGACGGTGAGAAGCGGAGCTAGGATCCCTACACCTTGTGTAAGCGTCGCCAGAATGTGTTTGTAAAGCGCGAGTCACAGTCGGAGATGATGCTCTTGGGTAAGCCGTGATCTCTCATGACTCAGTCGAAGACGATGTCGGCGACCTCACGAGCGCTAATGCGATAGCAGCATGGGACAAAACTTGCACACTTTGTGAAGCGATCGACGACGACCAACATCATGACCTCGCTCAGTGGGTGGAAGGAGGGGACCAACGAAATTCATCGAGATGGACTGCCAACAAACCTCAAGTATGGGTAGGGGCTGAAGTAACCCATACGGTGTGGTTCGCACTGTTCACCTCCTGGCAGACTGGACACTCCTGGATGTAGGTTTTCATGAAGTCCTCGGACTTCGGTTAAACGTATAGGCGGCAAACACGAGCCAACGTCTTGTGGAAGCCCATATGACCGGCAACTGCCTTGTTATGGAACTCTGCTACAGCGTTGACGTGGAGTTGTCCGTGGAGGGAACAGAGATACAAGGTTCTAGCTGACCAGATTTGCCATGCCAGTACACGAGACCGTTCTCACCGAGGGAGTATGAAGGAATGGTCTTGCCACTCCACAGTGTCGCGTGGATGACACGATAATTCGGGCAATGGCGGTACTGAGTGCGATATACGTCGATCACCGATTGATCAACAGTGATGATGGAAATGGCAGCAAGATGGATGGGTTCCTGATTGTGATCAGGATGGAGGGACAAGGCATCGGCGACGCGGTTCGTTTCACCCTTGATAGGCTGAGTGGTGAAACTGAACTCGGATAAATCACGCCACCGTGCTTGTGGAGGGGAAAACTTGGGTTTCGTGAGGTAAGTCTGGACAATGAAGTTGTCCGTGCGCACCGTGAAGGGCGCCCTGTGCAGATAATGACAGCAATGCCAGGTAGCGTAAACTACTGTGAGAACCTCGCGTTCATCGGCAGTGTGGTTTATCTCGGCAAGCAGGAGTTGACGGGAGTAGAAAGCGATCGAGCAATCCCCAACACGAGCCTTGACAGTCCCATCCTCTGCGATGGTCAAGGAGTAAGTAACGGGAGGATTGTCAGTGAAGGGAAGTGGTGGGAAGATAGGCGTCATTCGAGAAGCAGTGTCAGCAGGAGGGAGGGGGAAGAAGGAACATGGGGATAAGGGGAATCTGGAGGAGAGGAAAACACCTGAGAAAGTACAACTGTTACTGCAAAATTTGACGCATCAGTCGTGACGATGAAGGGACGGTCAAAATCAGGGAGGCAAAGAGCCGGCGCACAAGTCACCGCCTTCTTGAGGGCGCGAAAGGGCGTCCTCCAAAATCACGGCAGGTTCTCCCGGAGGAGGGTGGAGGTAAGGATGTAGGAATACCTAGTGTATCCCTGGATGAAATTACTATAGTAACTAGTAAGGTCTATGAAATTGCGAAGCTGCTTGACGGATGTGGGGACGGGCCACTCCGCAATAGCAGTGATCTTCGTGTTGTTTATGTGGAGACCTTGGTCAAACACATGGTGTCCTAGAAAGTCCACTTTGTTGGGCAAAGCGACACTTACTAAGCTTGGCATAAAAATCATGCTTGCGTAAGCGCTGAAGGACATCCCGAAGGTGTCTGAGATGGTCTTCTAAGGTACGACTGTAAACCAAGATGTCATCTCGGTATACGAGAACGTATTCTTTAAGGATGTCCCTGAAGATATCGTTCATTGCCGTCTGGAAGGTAGCGGGTACATTGGTGAGGTCGAATGGCATCACCATGAACTCGTAGTGGCTGAAGCGCGACCGAAAGGCGATTTTCGGTTGATCCTCTGCAGCAACGTGGATCTGATGATTACCACTACGAAGATCAATCTTTGTGAAGAAGCACTTGCCTGCCAGACGGTCAAACAACTCATCCGCGCGAGGCATGGGATAGTTGTTCTTAACCGTGTAGCGGTTAAGGCTGCGGTAGTCAATGCAGAGGCGAAAAGTTTTGTCCGCTTCGCGAGCAAAGGGGACAGATGCACCCCGATGGGAGTTACCGGGTTTAATGAAACCCTGCCAAAGGAGCTCCTCAAGCTGACGCTCGAGTTTCATCACCTCTAGAATCGAGAATCGGTAGGGTGTCGGATGGTGGACACGATAGTCAGGCACGAGCTGGATGGAATGCTCAACATCGCCCATCAGAGAAATCCCGCTGTATGAGAAATACGGGAGGAAAACGTCGCGGTACTCTTGAATCAAATCGTGAATGGCGGGCTCTAAGTCGGTTGTGAACCACGTTAGTTCCTCAGTGTCTGCGTCGGCACGAGATGTATGGGTGGACTCGGAAGTGAACGACGTAGGACCTAGGATGTCGAGGGGGTATCCGCAGGCTGAGGGGTGGATGTAGCGATGAGAGCCACAAAGATGGAGGAAGGGTCAGAGGGATCGGGCTCCAATGGGATGAGCTCAACCTCGGGACAGAGTGGATCATGGCGAAGAAGATCCATGACGTTCACTGAGTAAAACGTGACGTCCTCTTGTCGTATGAAGTGAGCAAACTGGCGAGGAGAAGCGAAGGCGATGTTTGGGTGGGACCCAGAGGAACAAGGGTCTTGGGGAGGAAGGTCGGGAGGGGTGTCGCCCATGGTTCCAATGAAGGGGACTCGATCGGTCTTACCACACTTCGTTTTGATAACAAGTGTTTCGGGCACTCATTCGGCCTCTGTGCCACGGAACCGGCGAGACCAGGGAGTGCCAAGGATAAAGTTGTACCCAATCTCCAGCACGTTAACGCATATGGAGGAATGGTAGCATCGTGGCGCCTGCGTACTATCTGGTGGCTGGAGGGTGAGGGAAAAGTGCAGGTCATGGACCGTCTGACCGAAGAAGCGTTGCGTCTTGAGGGAAAAGAGTAGAGTGAGAAGACGACGCATGACGTTTACGTGTCTTGTGAGTCGCTCCTGACGAGCCTGAAGAATGCTGAAGTCCAGGAAAGATGACACAACGACATCACGAGTCGCCAGCAGAGCGCTACAACGAGTTGTGCGAATGGCGCGACGCGTCGAAAGTCTCAGAGGGGAAGGACTAGATGTGGCGGTTTGTGGTGGGGCAGACGGTACCTCAACAGACGGCGGGGCAAAGGGAACTGCGTCTGTCGTGTCCTGAGGATCCTCTGGTGGGGTAGCCAAAGGGGCAAACCGCGACTCGATGGTCGGGAAGTCGGCTACTAAATGCGACGGTCTGCGGTGGGGCAAATGGTACCTCGACAGACGGCGGGCCATAGGGAACTGCGTATGTTGCGTCCTGAGGATCCTCTAGTGGGGTAACCAAAGAGGCAAACCGCGACTCGGTGGTCGAAAAGCCGACTACGTGCGAGGCTTCAGCGGTACACTGCACCATGGCTAGCTGGATAGGACTGGTCGGGCGGGGCTGGGGGGGGACTGCTATCGGCGCTGATGAGAAATGCCAACATAGTGTCGACCGAGGGCGGCATGGTATTGACACCGTGATGAGGTGTGTCCATCCTGGCGGCAACGAAGGCAACCGCGACAGGCCTCAAGGGGGGCGAGCTCCTCAGGGGATAGAGCTCCGTCAGGAGGGACGAAACCCTGCGCGAGATCTATTTGAGGGACTGCGAATGTGTGGGCGTCAGCCTGTGCAACCCGACCGCGAGCACGACCCATGTCGGACATCGCCATCTGCAAGCGCTCGGCCACCGGGACAGTGTCCTCATCCAATTGGTACTGGATGACGTCCCGAAGTTCGATGTCCTCGGGGGCGTCCCCAAAGGTAGGGTCGAGCTCGGTTGAGGCGTCCTCACCATACTCGAGAGAACTGTAGCTCCGAGAGAATGGCGCTTCAGATCAAGCTGGTTGGCGAAAACGGCCAGCGAAAGAGGATCGACCTCGAGTAGCACCGCGTGATTGGGTGGCGGAGGCGGTGGATTGCGAACACGATGGGGCATTGGAGAAGCGACTCCGCATCTTCTGGTACTGTCGAGCAGGCCTACAAGGAGGCGAAGGTCTGTGGCCAAAGCTCGATGCGGTAGTCGTTCGGAAGACTGACGACGAACCTGTGGGTCAAAAGGACCTCAGGTAGTAGTGCCTTATTACAAATGAGGGGGGCGTCCTAAAACACCCGAATGTCTGTCTCTTATACACATCTAGATGTGTATAAGAGACAGCCTACAAGGAGGCGAAGGTCTGTGGCCAAAGCTCGATGCGGTAGTCGTTCGGAAGACTGACGACGAACCTGTGGGTCAAAAGGACCTCAGGTAGTAGTGCCTTATTACAAATGAGGGGGGCGTCCTAAAACACCCGAATGTGGCGCTCTAGGTCTGCTAGTGTGGAGGACCCGCGCCACTGCATTTATGTGACCCGATCTAGGGCGTCAGTCGCGTCGTGGATAGTGTCATAACGGTCATGAAGGAACGAGGTGAAATCCGCGAGAGTGGGAGCCTCACCCAAGTGGGTACGATGGGTATAATAGTTCTCTCATGTGGTCATGTGAGCACCACAACTCCTGACTAGTGTTAGTCAGTGTCAGCGCACGTGTGGCAACCTGCAACCAATGCGACACACGAAGTGTACCATCGTAGTCGGGTATATCCGACAGACGCACAAGGGTGAGACCGTTGTGCTGGCGGCGAGGGGGGGAGAGAGGTTGATGGGCTTGCACTGCGGCAACAAATGTTGAGGCCGGTGCAGGGGTGAAAGTGGTGGCAGGTTGCGGGTCGGGGCTGTTGGTGGAAGGTCCTGCAGAGGTGGAGGCAATGGCAGCAGCCAGCTGTGACGGGGTGGCGAGGTAGGAGGGTAGAGGGGGAGGACCCGGTCAAGGGAAACGAGCCGGCAAAACACAAGTAGGAAGGGCGATATAAGAAAAAAAAGGGGGAGCAGCCTGTGAAAGGTGAGTCTGCCTCAGGGAGGGAATCTCCGCCTAGAGTTGTGCAATGGTGACCTGTAAGGTAGCCACTCGCTGGGTGCACGGGGTCGGAGGTGGAGGAGGCGGAAAGGGTACCCTTGCGGGAGGAGTAACGAACTGTAGGGAACCTTGAGGTGGGAGTGAGGAGATGATGGGAGGAGGGAGGACTTCAGTCCGTAGTGTCGGGACCGAAGCGGGAAGTTGGTAAGCCATACTGGGATGAGTAGGTGAAACTGCCTGACCAGATACCGCTATCTGAGCAGCAGCACCGACGATAGTGGCTGAAGCCTCAGGGGCCGAGGGGTGCGCTATAGTCTGAGTGGCAGCGGCACTCGCTAGTGTGGAGGGGGAGTGCTAGTCTAGACCCGCGAGGGAGAACGAACCATCACGTCTCCGTGTCTGAAGTCGTGGGGAGCCAAACTGTGAGCCGGTAGGGGATGGAGTATGAGAGCGGTGGGGAGAGCGATGAGGAAAACCCTTGAGGCGGTGAACTTAAAGGGCGAGCGCATTGACTTGCCCCTCCAAGGGTGCAAGCTCATTGAGTCGCGCTTGCAAAGGTGCAAGTAGGGATGCAAGAACAACGCGAAGGTGGGATAGGTCATCAGGCTCAAGGTGAGGGAGTAGTAGCGAAGCAAAACCAATGACCCTAATAGATAGACCATAAAGGCGGGTAATGCTCGACGAAAGGGTAACACCATGTAGGGTCGACCATGAAAGGGAAGCTTGGAATAGGGTGGATATATGCCTAACTGAACGCATGCAATGACTAACACTAGGGCGATGAGGAGAACCCTTGAGGTGGTGAACTTCAAGGGCAAGCGCATTGACTTGCCCCTCCAGGGGTGCAAGCTCATCGAGTCGCGCTTGCAAAGGTGCAAGTAGGGATGCAAGAACAACGCAAAGGTCAATGGGGTCCATAAGGTTCTGACCCTGGACCGTCGGGTGGGTGGGCGCTAGAGAGATGGAGGGCGCCTGAGAGGTGGAGGGCGTCGCGTCGATCACCTCGAGTGTAGCCCCATCCGTGGGCGGTGGATGTATGGGGGTAGTCATGGCACGAGGTGGAGAAAGAGGTGGAGAAAGAGATGGTTGTGGTATGGGGATACGGGACCACCGGTGAGAGGAATGGGACCGCAAGAGCGGAGTGGGTAGTCGTGACTCGCCTTGCCCCATGACCAGCGCGTCGCGCGTGAGAGGGTGGCGCGAATCCGATCGAGGGGAGAGGAGTCCTTCGGGTCCAGGGTGCCCAATGGGAGGAAGCGGGAGAGGAGAGGAGGTTAGGAGAACCCTAAAGCCTAGAAAACCCCTAAGAAACCCTGATTGGAGTTTCAGTGGTTAGGGTAGGGTAACGGCGACCTAATCAAGAAAAGAAAATACTACCATGGAGGGGAGAGGGAAAGAAAAATAAATAAACAGTGAAATTTCAAAAAAAAAAAAATAATAATACATAAAAAAAAAGTAAACAAAAAGTGAAGAGAAATGACATTTATTTTTTTAAAATTTTCGGCAGCATTTCCCTACCCCCCTCATGGGGTCAAAATGTCCCAAGAGGAAGGAGAGACCAAGAGAAGCACAATGAGTTTCAAAATGCCGCCAATGATAATTTTCAAGAACATAAATAAAGAAATAAAAAAATAGATAAATAAAGAAATCTGGTGGCACGTCGTACACGTACATATTCTAGCATACGCGAATGAACCCAAAATCGTGCATAAATTAAAAAAACAAAAAAAACACAAAAAACAAAATGCAAGGAACATGAATATGGACGAAGCACAGAAATCCAGAATGCAAAATCACACTGAAGAAGTAGTCAAAGCCAAAGCAGATAGCACATGGAACCGAGTAACCATCCCATTGAGAATGATACAGAAGAATCGTGAGTCAATGTCCATGCCCAACAGGGCAACACCAACAGCATAACCCAAATGTAGTAACCATCCCATTGAGAATGATACAGAAGAATCGTGAGTCAATGTCCATGCCCAACAGGGCAACACCAACAACATAACCCAAATGTAGCTCTCTTGTGAATGGCGCCAGGCGCCCTATCTACTCTACAGCCTA